GATGCTTTATCGATTAACAATTCCAATAATTCCAATCGCTCTAATTTACTAAACGTTGTTCGAAACCATGTGATATGTTCCCACCTCTCCTACTATACATATATATCTTTCCTCGGACGAACGGACCAACCCTTGTTTAATAGCCTGACCACAAGAACCGAAAGCTTCAGCGGTCTCAGTTAGCGGTGGATGGTCAGCCAATGCGCCACTTGGTCAGTTCACAAGCCTTCGTTGATGCTCTCACACCGCCACCATCGCCGGCCCCAAAAACCGACCCCCAGTGGCGCGGATGGAACCAGATCAAAGTTAATTGGGAAATAAGGAATATTACTATACTTTAAGTTCAAAAATATTAAACAAAACAACCAAGATGTCTTAACAAAAGTAATCTCGTAACAAAAGTAAAACACATACTAAACAAAAAATTTGGAAAAAATAAAAAAAACCAAACGAATTTTAAGCTTTTTCATATAAGTTTTTTGCTATTTTTATTTATATGCTATAAGTAGTTATATACTACTTATCTGAATACATAATAAACATAGCCATTCATTATGTTTTTTCCAATATATCTTTCCTGCTCTAACTTTTGTCTTATCATGTCAACGTCCCCTAATATTATTTTTAGTTATCATATGCTTCTCTTCATTTGTTTTATTATATATGTTGTGGTTTTCTGCTTATTCATCTGTACAAACAATTAGAAGTATTCATTGGCCGGCTGTCACTCAATTTTTTGCGAAGTCGGCTCTTATGTCTTATACCGTTTGGTCATCTGTCACTTTCTATGTTGACAAATCTAGGCTTCTCTATTCTCCTTCATCAATCAGCCAATCGCGTCCACTGCTGGACATAGGCCTCCCTCAGTTCTTTCCAGTGTTCTCTACATTGGGCCGCTTGTAGCCAGTTTCCCGCTACACGTTTAATGTCATCGGTCCATCTAGTCGGTGGTCGTCCTCGGCTTCTTTTATAATTTCTGGGCCTCCATTCCATAATACGTCTTGTCCACCGTCCATCTTGTGTTCTGGCTAAGTGCCCTGCCCAGTTCCACTTAAGCGTCGTGGTTCTTTCGATGACGTCTTGAACTCCTGATCTTCGTCTGATTTGTTGGTTTGTTATGTGGTCTCGAAGGCTCACGTTCAGCATTGCACGTTCCATGGCTCGTTGTGTAACTCTAAGTTTATTCGCAGATTTTTGCGTGAGTGTTAAAGTCTCTGCTCCATAAGTTTGTACAGGTAAAACACATTGGTTATAAACCTTTCGCTTGAGACACATGGGAATTGAACTTTTTAGAATATGGCTTAATTTGCCAAATGCTGCCCATGTTAGACCTATTCGCCTCTGTATTTCATGTGTTTGATTGTCTCTGCTTATTTTGATTTCGTTTCCCAGATATTTCTAAGTGTCTGTTTGTTGTATGGTATTATTGTCAATAGTTATATTTCCACTAATTACGAGATTTGTTATAATTTTAGTTTTCTCAAAGTTTATCTTTAATCCTGCTCTTTCAGACAGACTTTTAAGCGAATGCATCATAGAAACTGTATCATGTAAGTTATCTGCGATTAATACAACATCATTTGCAAACCTTAGGTGATTTAATCTTTCTCCATCTATATTGATGCCCATATCTTGCCATTGAGTACCCTTAAATATTGACTCTAGAGCTGCCGTGAACAATTTTGGTGAAATATTGTCTCCTTGTCTAACTCCTCGACCTAAGCTGAATTTTTCTGTGTCTTCGTGCAGTCGTATACTTGATGTAGTGTTCTGATAGATGTTTTTGATTAGTGTCGTGTACCTGTAATCTATTCGGCTTTGATTTAGGGCTTCCAGTATTGTTTCAAACTCTACAGAATCAAAAGCCTTCTCGCAATCGACAAATGCAAGAACCAGTAGTATGTTGTACTCGATGCACTTTTCTATTAAGATCTTTATGGTATGCAAATGGTCATTTGTGCCATATCCTGCCCTAAAGCCTGCCTGTTCTTTGGGCTGATAGAAATCAAGTTTAGGTGTTAGCCTCTTTGTTAAGATTTTCATAAAGAGTTTGTACATATGTGTCAAGAGGCTGATGGGTCTATAATTTTCTAATTTAGTAATATCGCCTTTTTTGTGTAACAAGACTATTACTGCATTGTTCCAGTCTTTTGGAATCGTACCCGCATGTAAGCATTTAGTAAACAGTTCGCTTACTGATCTTAATAAAATTTCTCCACCTGCTTTTATTGCCTCGATAACGAGTCCATCATCACCAGGCGATCGATGGTTCTTCATTTCCTTTAAAGCTGCTCTTACTTCTGACACAGTAATGGGTAAAAGTATTTCCGATCCCTGATTTATGAGAGTCTTTACTTGTGTCGGGAAATTGTCTTGTGGTCTTTGGCTGGTATAGAGGTCTTTATAAAATTCTCTAGTTATTTTCAGAATGTTTTGTTTATCTGTTGTTGCCTTTCCGTCTTTATCTCTCAGCTTGTATATTTCTTTTTTACTTTGCGTAAGTTTTCTTTTCATTATCTTTAAACCTTTGTTCTCTTCTACTGTTTGAGTAATTACATTAGTATTATATCTTTTTACATCTTTTCCAATTTCCGCTGAAATTCTTTTATTTAGTTTTTTATATTCTTCTTTGTTTCCCTTTTCGTTCTCGCTTAGGTTTCGTCGTAATTCCATGAGAGCCCTTGTATCTTTGCTAATCTTTGCACTTTTGGTGTCATTTTTCTTGCAAAATTTGAGTTGTGCGTTTCTAACTGAGTCTGTTATTAATTTATTGTGATCGTCGATACTTAGAGGTTTGGGATTATTACTCTGTAAAGTTTCGGCTATATTTCTTATATATGCTTCTGGATGATTTGGTGAATTCCAAACTATGCGTTTACAACTGTTTATCATCTTTGCTCTTTCTTTTTGTAGATTTATTGTTACTCTAGCTCTTACTGGTCTGTGGTCGCTTCCTATTGATAGTTTATTGAGTACAGTGACATCTTGAATAATTTGCTTTTTGTCTGTTATTATATAATCATATTCGCTCTTAGCTCTTCCGTCTGGACTAGCCCACGTCCATTTTCTATTCTGTTTCTTCTTAAAAAAGGTGTTCATTGCATACAGTTTGTGTTGCAGTAGAAAGTTGGTAAGCATTTCGCCTCTTTCGTTTCTTACTCCGATTCCAAAATCTCCGATTGCCACTTCTTGTTCGTCTTTTTTCCTTCCGAGTTTCCCGTTAAAATCTCCCATTATCAGATTGTAATGAGCCGGTTCCTGCTTTTTTGCTCTTTCGATTTCCTCATAGAAGGCTTCGACAATTTCATCTTTGTAATCGCTGGTGGGGGCGTATACCTGGATTATTTTCAGATTGTATCTCTTATTTAGTCTTAGATTTATATACATAACTCTTGGGGAAATGCAGTCAATGCTCTGTATATTTTTCTGTAATTTTTTGTGTACTAATAAACCTATTCCTCCAGTTGTCGATTCCGTTTCCCCTTTATAGTGGAATATGTTTCCTGATTTTAGTTTGACCTGATCTTCACCTCTTCTTTTGACTTCGCTAATTCCTATAATATCCCATTTCACATGTTTGAGTTCTTCCTCCAGTTCTGTCATTTTTTCATCCTTAGATAAAGTTCTTACATTATACGTAATTATGTGCAACGTTCGTCGTTCTTGGTAGCCTCTTACATCCCGGGGATTCTTCGCACCCTCTACCCGCTGTCCGTGAGTCCTACCGCTACCTTGGTCGGGAACTAGCGAGCTGCCGGGGACTGAGGGCCGTTTTCTTGAATGTCTGTTCATGCTGAGGGGGTTTTGGCATTTAAACACCACGCTTGCCAGGCGGGTTGGTGAGTTGGTTTGGGAAATTGGTAGGATAGTAGGTATTGGGTAGGAATGGGGTTAGGACATGATTTCTCTCCACATGAGTAAAGAGAGAATCAAGGCTCGCGTAAGGCAGGATCGCATCCCTGAAGTAAGTCTATCCTCCACTGGGATTGTGGAAGAGTACCTACCCGCTACCATAGCGGGTAGGTACTCTCCTTATGTAATTATTTTATTATTTTTTCGTTTAATATCCAATTAATTTCTTCACTTCTTTATAGGGCAGCGCATTTACTGTAATTAGTCTCAGTATTCTCATCTCCGTCATTCCCAACAGCCTCTGTGTTTTCTTCTTCTTTTTATGTTCTCAGGTAAGACACGAAAGACTCTGAAACATGGTCATAAGATCGTTACAAGAAGTCCTGTGCTAACGACGAAAGCCAGCGGCTTCCTTGGCTTTTGTTTGTTTGTATTAAAGCAATAAACCAATCATATTCGGAAATGATCTACTGGACAGTGTATTGCTACGATTTTCGTGTTCTTCACCTTGATTCATTTACTTTAACCGTTATTGTATAGGTGCTTTCTCGGCCGACAGAGACCGGTTACTATTTCTGGTACTGTTTTTAACTCCCGCTTACTGAGTGTTTGGAAGTGGGAAAGTCTTCATTTATCCCATTTATTTTGATGACTCTTATAAATTAAGTAGATCCTTGCAATCAAATCCAGTTTTGGCTTATTTTGTCGCTAATATAGGAAACTTTGCCCAACCTTTAATTTAATAGGTGCAGGCTAACATCGTGACAACTTTAGTCTGGAATACTGTAGTGTGTCGACCAAGAAAGACAAAAAAAGTTACAGGCTATGTTAAATATGAATTAGATGTGGAAGATGTACACTGGTTACTCAGTTCATTTTAATTTGCTTGATTGTTTAATCGTTTATAAGATTTAAGATAATGAAAGAAAAAAAAACTTGGTTTTTTTATATAGACATGACTCTATCTGTTTTTCAATGTGCCTTTAGTAAGTTGTCGTTCCATCATTTTCGTGATCTTTCTACTGATCGTTTTAATATTTGAGAACCGTCTCTTGTCACCTTTACATAGATATGAGATACTGCAGCTCATTTTTAAGGAAAAAATAAAACATCGCGCATCGATGAGATATAGGCGGGAAGCTCGCTTTTTAGCTGAGAAGCATTTGAGAATAGACGGTAAAATGAAATGCAGAACAAGTTTTTGATATGGCAGATGACCTTAAAAAATTCGCTATAATGTTTGCCAACAGTTGTTTAGCATCATCTTTGTTATTTTCTTGTAGTTTTGTACTATTTTTAACTTCTTCGTCGTTCTTTTCAGTTTTATCAGCATTATACTCTTCTATCGAATCTTCATTTCTAGACACGGCGTTACCAAGATCTTCAGATTCTTTCCATGATAAACCAAGAAGCGCTTTTTCGTAATGTACACATACTTCACCTTTACCGAATGACTCGTTCAAATCGTCTTGATGTTCAGCTGCCAGAAGTTCGCTAGCTATACTTAAAGCCGAGATAGCTAACAAGAAATTTCTCATATTAAAGGCTCGTACATACTGACCGTATATTTCTTCGGAATTGTTGCTTTCAGAATCTTTCTTTCTTTCAGAATCTCAGCTGCTATCTTTACTACTGGCAATAAAATTTAACACTTTAAATGTATTAATAAAGATGAAAAATTAATGTGAAAAGTGGAACGTGTGCAAAATGAAAGAGAAGAACCGTTAAATCTATAGTTGCTGGGAAGATGAAAAACTGATAGTTTGTGTTGTAAGCTCTTGTTCATAATCACACACTTTTGTAATCAACGTGGGTCTACACGTGGGTCTACTTTGGTAGGTATCTTTGTTAGTTTTTGTAGTCTTGTAGATTATTCGCTAATATATGGTGTCAGCTGCAAATCTAATGTTGGTTATGGTTTCGCCATTTATCTTATATATAACTTTCCTAAATTATTCTAGTGCATACCTAAAATCTGTTCCGAAATTAATTTAATCAATAACGATGATTTAAAGTACCTCCAACGTTCTTCTTTCTGTATTTTTACTGGTTTGTAGGTTTTAGATTGTATATAAAGGGGTTCATTTAGCAGCATTTAGCCATATGAAAAAGCGCCTCCTAAGCAAGGATTTTTCTCTACCAATAAAACTACGTCTAGTTAAATGCTACATTTTTCCGATCTTGCTGTATGGCGTGGAGTCCTGGACGCTGACGGAGACGCTAACGAGAAAACTAGAAGCATTCGAAACCGACGCATTCTTCGTATATCCTGGACCGAACATGTCACCAACATAGAGGTACTCCAAAGAATAGGCAAGGAGAAAGAAATCGTGAATACAACTAAACAAAGAAAGCTTGAATATCTATGCCACATATTGAGACACGGTAAGTACCGTCTGCTACAATTGATTGTCCAGGGAAAAATAGATAATAAGCGAGGGCCAGGCAGGAGAAGACACTCGTGGCTCCAAAATCTGCGGAAGTGGTTCGGGCTCACATCGGTCAATTTATTCAGAAGCGCCGCAAACAAGATCAAAATTGCCATGTTAATAGCCAACGTTCGCAACGGACAGGGCACTTAAAGAAGAAGAATAAAGGGGTTTATTAACTACGTAAAACTTTGCATTGCAACGTGCGCAAAGTTTTACGTAGTTAATCAACCCATTTTTTGATTTGTTTTTTTCTTACATCATCTTTTTTTGTTTTCATCTTACATCAATGTTAGCGCCAGCATCCGATGATCTTTTGTCTCGACATCTGACTTCCACAGAAGCTTAAATATTTTCCTCACTGCAACGCTATGCTCACTTGATGGCTTTATTCTTTTTTGGATATTAGAGTGTCATTACGGTTTATGTTTGCCTTGTTATCGTCCATTATTTTTAGACGAGAATCTTGGAAGTGGATTAGCACACTCCGCCGAGTTCCGAGTGTCGGGAGAAGAGAGTGAAAAAAGAAACCTGGGTTTCTCTTGGTACGCGGTGTTGAGCTATTCTTAGCCAAGGTTTTGATCTTTACTAGTTTGGTATCATCATCAGTCCGTTTTTTCATTGCAGAGCATGGGCATCGTTATGTATATTCAGAGTGCACGGTCTTGACTAGCAAGGATCCAATTTTTCGTCATCTTTCACAGATCGTCCTGCCATTGTATAGGCGGCCTTTCTTTGTTTCGTTTATCTATCCTTGGTTTCCATTCGGTGGTTAACTTCCTTGTACACCTTCCATTCTTTATCTCTACCACGTTGCCAGCCCATCTCCATTTTAATCTGCAAGCTCTCTTCACAACATCTGTAACTCTGGTTATTTTTCGTAAGTCTTCGTTTGTAATCAATATCACAAACCAAGTTTGGTATACTGCTCTTCAATTCGTACTATCACCTTCTGTGCTCAACTTCTCTCAAATCCTGAGCCAACGGAAGGGGTGTAGTAGTCAGCGTGATGTCGTATGTTATCCGTTTCCAAAGTTCTCTGTGTCCGGTCATTTCTTTTAACTCATACATAGGTCTTTTGCATATTTCTGTAATTTGATCAATTCATCTTGTTAGGGATCTTCCTCATGATCTTTGGCCTTCTACCTTTCCTTGAATAATAAGTCTTTTGTTTTCTATGTCGGCTCTCATAACATTTCCAAAGCATTTTAATTGTTGCAGATGAACTATGTGGATAGCTGTTTGGTGACTTTTAGCTCATTTGAAATTAAATTATTTGTCCTGTGATCGGTCCATGGAACTGGTAACATTCTTCTCTAACATAATATTTCGGCGGCGTACATATTTTTTCTTTCTGCTTGTCGTACGGTCCAAGATTGATATCCGTGTGTAAGTATTGAAAATATTAAGCAGTTGATCCAACACATTTTTAGAGTTCATGGAATTTAGAGTCCTTCAATACTTTGGCAGTTTTTCCTGGGTGACTTTTTTAGATCACATCTACGTTTTATTTCTTCCTGTAGTGGCCTTGTTTTTTGTTGTGTTCTTAATACAGGTTAGGTAATATATTCATGTTTTTCCATCTACTACTAAGCATTTAACAATATGCACCATGCTTTTGTCCTTGCACCAAAAGGTTTGGCATAGCTTCGAAAGTAAACGAATACGTCACAATTGATGTCTTTAAATATATATATATATATATATATATATATATATATATATATATATATATATATATTAGTATAATGGTAAGGTTAATTGGGTTAGCAACTGAATAATGAAAGCCAAAGTGTGCTCTTTTCAACGACTTCGCTATATTTCGTTAAATTTCTTTAACATCTTCAGACGAATGCTACAATATGTTACAAAATGGTGAAATTGTGTATTTTACATAAGATGTAGTGAAACACTTACTTGTGTGAGGTTGCAGGCAAAAGTGGTATTTGAAAGTTCCATGTTGAAAAACTTTTTTGAAGATTTTTTTATAGCAAGAAAATAAGTTGTATGTGTTATATGGTGGCTTGAAAACTCAAACAATACAAGTGCATTTTTGTTATTTTCCTCCAGTGTGATAGTACAATACAAATATTAAAAAACATTGAACATTTAAGAAACAAAACAGTTAAAACACAACTGCATATCACATTGTCATTTTTTGGACCAGTCTATTCACCTATGCACAAGGAGGTGGAAATCTAGTGTGTACCTCAAGGTTAAAGTGTCTTGTCAGCTATCATATTAGTAGATGTCAGCCAGAAAACTAAAGCTGTGTTCAGTTCATGTGTAAAGTTACATTTAATTGAAAATTATGTTATGTTAATTTAAGACAATTAAATTCTGTTGTTAATAAATATATATAGAATTTATTTATTTCTTTGTGATTATTTCTTTTAAAGTTGTGTTAATTATTGTTATTACTCTTAAGAATTTTATTTCCTGGAAAAATGCAACAATTGCAATAATAATGATTAAGTTACTACTTCAATTGGATGGTCAGAAGAGTTTTAATAGACAATATTATACTATTCAGAATATTCCAGTTCGTTGACTTGATTATTTTTTGTTTCCAACTGCAGTAGAAAGGAATAAATTTCACTAAGGTGTTGTATATCTGATTTTGTGTTGATTATATTATCTGTTGTTGCTATGTGGGTCATTAAGAGAAGACTTTTTTTAGAAATGACCCACATAGCAACAACAGATAATATAATCAACACAAAATCAGATATACAACACCTTAGTGAAATTTATTCCTTTCTACTGCAGTTGGAAACCAAAAATAATCAAGTCAACGAACTGGAATATTCTGAATAGTATAATATTGTCTATTAAAACTCTTCTGACCATCCAATTGAAGTAGTAACTTAATCATTATTATTGCAATTGTTGCATTTTTCCAGGAAATAAAATTCTTAAGAGTAATAACAATAATTAACACAACTTTAAAAGAAATAATCACAAAGAAATAAATAAATTCTATATATATTTATTAACAACAGAATTTAATTGTCTTAAATTAACATAACATAATTTTCAATTAAATGTAACTTTACACATGAACTGAACACAGCTTTAGTTTTCTGGCTGACATCTACTAATATGATAGCTGACAAGACACTTTAACCTTGAGGTACACACTAGATTTCCACCTCCTTGTGCATAGGTGAATAGACTGGTCCAAAAAATGACAATGTGATATGTAGTTGTGTTTTAACTGTTTTGTTTCTTAAATGTTCAATGTTTTTTAATATTTGTATTGTACTATCACACTGGAGGAAAATAACAAAAATGCACTTGTATTGTTTGAGTTTTCAAGCCACCATATAACACATACAACTTATTTTTTTGCTATAAAAAATAAGTTTTTCAACATGGAACTTTCAAATACCACTTTTGCCTGCAACCTCACACAAGTAAGTGTTTCACTACATCTTATGTAAAATACACAATTTCACCATTTTGTAACATATTGTAGCATTCGTCTGAAGATGTTAAAGAAATTTAACGAAATATAGCGAAGTCGTTGAAAAGAGCACACTTTGGCTTTCATTATTCAGCTGCTAACCCAATTAACCTTACCATTATACTAATTAATAATTGGACAGCTGTGATCATTCTTCGTTCTATATATATATATATATATATATATATATATATATATATATATATATATATATGTGTGTGTGTGTGTGTGTGTGTGTGTGTGTGTGTGTGTGAGTTTGTGCATTACTGGCTTCGGAGACTCTGTCCATTCGCCATCTTACCTTTATGGGATAATTTTGTATATATATATATATATATATATATATACAAATACATACAATATATTTAAATACATTTTTACATATATACACTAATACACTAAATATATATATATATATATATATATATATATATATATATATATATATATATATATATATATATATTTAGATACATTTTTATATCTTGACTAGCTTTGCAAGTAGAACTTCTCGCGTTCTGAGACCACTTGATAGGGATTTTTATGACTTGACTCATCAATTATACAAAATTCGTCGCAAAATATAGTTTGTGGGCGTTTTGCTATTAAAGCAAACGTAGTCACTGGTTAGTTTTCCCATATT